TGTATGCGTATGAGCATGGGTGTATGTGTGACCAAATGCGTGTAGGCGTGTGTACGTATGTGTGTGTCTGAGTGTGAGCATATATCTGTGTATGAGAGTGAAGTATATGTGTATTTGAGAGGGTATGTGTGTGAGTATGTGTGTATGTGATTGTATGACTATATGTGAGTATACTATTGAGTATGAATGTGTGTGAGTTTATGTGGGTGTATAAGTATATATGTCAGTGACTATGTGTGAGTATGTGTATGTGAGAATGTATGTATGTGTGATTATGAATATGTATGTGTATGTCTGTGAGTATATATGTGAATGTATGTGTATGTGACTGTGTGTGTATGTGACTGTATATACGAGTACAAGTGTATGACCATGTGTGAGTTTGTGGGTGTAGGAGTATACGTCAGTAACTGTGTGTGTGACTGAGTGTGAGTATATGTTTATGAAAGTGTGAGTATATGTGTTGTGACTGTGTGAATGAGTTGTGTATATATTTGTGAGCATGTGTATGTGTGACTGAATGTGAGTATGTATGAGTGCATGTATGCGTATGTGAGTATGTGTGTATATTGGTGACTGTGTATATATGTGTATGAGTGTATGACCATGTATGAGTGTGTATGTGACAATGTATGTATATATGAGTATGCATGTGTATATGTATGTATACAAGTGTGACTGTGTATGTATAAGTGTGTATCTGTGTTTGAGTATATATGTGTGTGTGACTGAGTGTATATGTGACTTTGTGAGTGTGTGACTGAGAGTGTGTGTGTGCATGAGTGTAGGTGTGTGATGTGTGACTATATAAGTACATTTGAGTATGTGTACGTGTGAGTTTGTGAGTGTAAGTATATGTAATGTGTGAGTATGTATATGTGTATATGTGAGACTGTGTGTATGCGTGAATATGATGACCATGAGTATATATGTGTGTGTATGTGTCTGTATGAGTGTGCCTGTGTGTAAGTGTGTATTTGTGATAATACATGTGAGAATTTGTGTGTGTGCACATACTCATCATACTCATTTCATAATGCCCATTTTGTCTGAGAAGCCCAACACTGGCACCGGAAGAGCATGAGCAGGGGGGACCATAGACGCTTGCTTGAGCCTTCCTTCCAAATCTTGTCCCGCGTGAAACCCAGCAGCCCCTTTCTGGAAAGGCTTTAAGTGGTTGTTTCCCCTTTTTCTTTCCATATTGTTGCCCGAGCAAGGTAGGGATTTGTGGTGGTGTTAAGTCAAGAAAATTCTTTTAAAGCACTACTGCCAGTTAATGATTGATTGATGGGAAAAAAGTATCAGTTCTCGCTATGTGTTGCCTGCCTAGGTTTAGGTAATCAACCCTAAAACTGTATTTTCGGTGTGTTGTGTTTGGCCCACCCACAGTATACAAGCTTTCATCACTCTGTTAACAGATTTGTGTAAATACTCTGTAGTTACTGGAGAATCCCCTAATTTCTCTTTATTTTCCTGATCTAAAGTATTATCTAACAGTTTTTCCCAGAGTTTATTTCAGTATTTCTAGTGTTTAGGATTCTTTCTTTTCTCTTAATAGGATGTGTATTTCTTAAGCCTTCTTTCAGTTCCTCACACACAGCATTTCATGAATCTATGTCTTACCGTAAGCTACCCTCCCATGTCTATGATGCACTCCTTCCTCACCTCTGCCTCTTACAAAGTCTACTTCCAAGCTTCCAAGTGGGACTTCCTGAAGCAGGCCTTTTTTCAGTCCTTCCAGATTCTAGTGCCTCCCCCCATCCCCATTGCCTTGTATTTATTTTGTATTTACATATATTGTACATGTTGTCCTTTTGTAGGGAATGTAAGCTGCTTACTTAAATTTTTGTGTTTGCGTCCCTAGCAGCTGGTACAGTGCCTAGATTGATAGTGAGTTTTTGAGTTCACTAAAACCCTTAGATTTTTTTTCAAGCTGTTATCTAACCACACCTCCGAAATCTTTTACTTGTGAAGTTGATTTTTGGAACCTAAGTCTAAGACTCCACATTTTTTAATGTTAATAGATTAAAAAAACCCTTTATCTTATTCACTTTAGCCTAATATTCTAGCCTTTCAAGATCTTTTAAAATGTTAACTCTGTCGGTTCATTGCATTAACTTTTCCCTCCTAGTTCTGTTGTCATCTGTGGATTTGCTAAGCATACATTTTTACCTTCATTTAAGTCACTGTCAAAAGAGTTAAACAGAATAGGGCCGTATTTCCACCTTTTCTAGAAGAATTGAAGTACTTTGCTAAAATCTAGATGAATTGTATCTGTAGAATTCCCATGATCTATTAATTTAGAAACTTTGTCAAAACAGAAAATAAAATTAGTTTGATATTACCTGTTCTTGGTAAAATCATGCTGGTTCTTTGTGATTTCTTTTTTTTCCCCCTGGATTTTTACCAATCATCCTTTTACTAGTACATTTGAGAATTTTTCTAGGAATCAAAGTAAAAAAAATACTAATCTACTTTGTAGACCCTTTTCTCCTCTCTTTTTTGAAAATTGGGATATCAACTCTTTAAACAGTAATTTTTTTATTGCTATTTTTGTTTTTACTTTACCTACATTCCCTCCCATCTTCTGTTGTCCCCTCCCAGAACCCCCTCTCCTTCATACATAATAATGAAGAATTATTTTAAAAAAGAAAAAGAGGAACAAGAGAAAAAAAAAGACTTCAAACCCAATCAATACGTTTTAAAAAGTTACATGCAGTCTTCTCCAAACCTGTGGAATCTCATCTGTTTTCTGTGATCTGATCTGTCAGAGATCATTGGGAGGGGCTTAGCAGTCACATGTCATAGTTCTTTCAGCACCCAAGAATATAATAGCTCAGGTGACTTGAATTCAGTAATGAAAAACAGTGCTCTCATGATATTCTCACTTTACTTATTTTCAGTATTAGTTCCTGGTTATTTGCTTTCCTTCCAGTGCAAACTTCATTCTTAGAGGGGAGAACCGAAGTGTAGAAAAAATTAAGTAGCTTTGTCTTTTCTCGGTCCTCATTTGTTCTTATCTTAACCACCCTGGACTGTGATCTTCTTTGTTCTTTTATCCTCCCTTTTTCCTTAATGTAGTTAACACTTCTCTTTGTTCTTAGATTTTCTCTCTAGCCTTCATCATTACGAGCTTCTGAAACTATTCTTTTACCTTGTTTTTAAATTCACTTTCTTTAATTTTTCCTTTCTTGCATTTTTTTGTAGATGTCTTTAAAAAAAAATCTGAGTTGGGGCAGCTAGGTGGCACAGTGGATAGAGCACCAGCCCTGAAGTCAGGAGGATCTAAGTTCAAATGTGACCTCAGACCAAACACTAGACACTTACTAGCTGTGTGACCCTGGGCAAGTCACTTAACCCCAGTTGCCTAAAAAAAAAAAATCTGAGTTGCTTGGTGAATTCGTTGTGAATCCACACTGGTTCCTTTAGTTAGTAACTCTCTGTTTTCTTCCTCATCAGATTGATTTCTTTTTGTGTTTTTAGAAGTGTATTTGGAGTTCTGTACCTTTCTTCTAGGTCTGACTTCCCGTGTAGAATTGATGCCACTTAACTTTCCTTTTACTTCTTTGAAATATGCTCTTCTAAAATTTAAAATATATCAGACTATAGCCAACTTTTCTCTCCCTTGTCTATCACATACTCTAAAGAGTTGTCCCTTCTGGAGTCATCATCACTCTCCCTCACTTTCCCTTGTGCTAGTACTTGCCTAGTATTGTCAGTTTAACCTCCACCACAGCCCTCTTAGCATCTCCTTGTCTACACTTAAGTGTTTACCATTCTAATTCAGACCCTTATCACCTCTTGCTTGGATTATTGTAATAGCCTCTCTATTGCATTCTCTGCCTGTAGTCTCTTTCCTTGTTTCACCTTGTCTCTGCTATTAGGCTTTGAGCTCCAGGAGAGCAGGGGCTGGGCTGGGCTGTCTTTGCGTTTTTTTTGTTTTTTTTTTTTTATCATCTCTGTGTTTAGCCCAGTGCTGGTATATAGTAGTTGCTTAATACATGCCTGTTCACTAACTGAGCAAATTATTATTGTCAGGTCAAGAGATTATTAGCTGCCCAGCTATTAGTAGAAAGAGGTTCCAGGTATGTGCCCAGAGAATTGAAGTCCTCCATCACTGCTATATCATGGTTTTTTGTGCTGTGCTTGGGACCTATTTCCTAGATTCTTTTTGTGTTGCTGCTCAGAGTGTGCTCCTATGACAACCTTGCTTTTCTGTATTCCTTCGTGATCCACTGTGCTTTGCTTCACTGGCTAGTGGATTTTCTCACATAAGAATCGGGATAGGGATTGGTGCTGGACCTGTGAACAGGACTTAAAGCCAGGAAGATATGTGTTCTGACACATAAAAATAATAATAATAATGATAGCTAGAATTTATATAGCACTTTAAGCTTTGCAAAGTGCTTTACAAATATTACATCATTTGATCATCACAACAACCCCTGGGAGGTAGTGCTATTATC